CACCGGTGTGGACGAGAATGGAGGAGCATAGCGGCGGCAACTAATCGAAAAGCAACTAATCGAATAGCAACTAATTGATGGTGAGAATTGATGCCAACGATTCTCGTTATGGATTATAATCGATTTAATCGATTAGTAGTTGGTTCATATTTATGCATATAAGTGCAAAAAAATCTAAAATGCAATTGAATACAGACATTTGAGAAACAATATATGTAGATATTAATCATAAGTACGCAATCCAAACATTGGCAAGTTAATATATTTGTAAACCATAATAGAATATATTAACCCAAACAAACCACTAGGTGTCACCACCAACCTATTACAAACACCACTAAAAGTAAAAGATCAATTAAAGCAGTAGAAGCTAAGTAGTGTGAAATGTAACCAAGCAATGTTTATACAAATAAGAAAGGTTTGCTTGCACAGAGCAGTTTGAAACATTCTCCTTCCGTTAGACTATTACTTATGGTTTCTATCTCAAAAAACAATTATTCACTTGGGACCACCATTGTGATGTTCCAGAAAATTGCTTTTTTTTTTTCTTTTTGTTTTCTGAACCATTGTAGCTCTGAGTGCACCGATTGTACAGCCTATATAGTTAAATCCGCAGATGCATGTCAAACAATGATGACAAAGGAGAATAAACAAAGGAGAATAATAAGCATCTATTCTTCTTGTCGGTGAATGTGGTGGGGGTTTTTTTTTGTGTGTGACGTAAATCACAATTACTGCATTTGAGCTTGCGACTTTTAAAGGACCCACAAATATTAGAAAATGTAGCAGACGGATACAGCGGAAAGAAGTATGTTTTTAATCTATCAGGCACAATCATTTTAGTGATGCATGTAGCCTTACTGAAAACCTTGAACAGTTTACCAGGTAAACTATTTGGAATGGGGCCCTTTTTATGGATACCCCATTGTTTATCTAGGATGTGGTGAATGTAGGGGGTTTTCATATAACATAGAACCTGCCTGTTTACAATCTACTTCAAAATGTACACTGATCTGCACATGGCAGCTCGGGGTACATTTTCTGCACCTGCCAGGATGAATGAACTCCTGTGCATGCTAATCAAGATGGCTTAACATCCTGAATCTACAAGAAGACCATACGCCAGCGAAGGAGCTTTTGGATGTCATATGGCTAGGGGGGGTGAGTAAATTTCCCTCCTTTATTTGTTAGTGCAGTCAAAACTTGGTGAAAATAGTTTAGATTGTTTAAAATTGCCATATGTCCAGCATAACAGTGAGCAAAGACTGCCTAATAATCACAACCGATGCTCTCGATTCAGTCATAACTTGCAAATACGGGTACTTCTGTGATCTTTCTAGAGAAGGGTGGTCTTTGGGCAGCCTGACAGATTAAAACATTATATTATTTTATTATATTTTGATAAAATTGAAAGGACTATACACCCCTGCTTTCTGTGCATACAAAACATTTGGGGCATATGTTTCTAAATTGAAGCAGAGCACACATGGCCTGCTGACTTTGTCTTGTATTTAATGGTAAAGCAGCTGATTAGTGGAGAGGAAAAAGCTAGGTGGGGTATGTAGCATTACTATTCTTCTTTGCTGTCAATCTGACACTTTGAAACCCTCATTGTGCATTTCCAGCTCAGCCCCCAAGCAGCCATGTATACATTTTGAAAGAGCTTTAACACCAAAGAAGTGGAAGTTGTAAGCTGTCAGGAAACTAACATGCAAACGTGTACAGATGTGAATGGACCTGAAATGCAACATATTTACTTTTCCCTTTACGGCAAGTAGCATGTAAGGGCCAGTGCACACCTAGGCGACACCCCACCATGCGGCAATCGTGTCACCCAGGTGTGCACCGATCACGCTGTGGGTGCCATTATTTTTCAATGGCACCCCAGTAGCGCCGGGCGGATTGCTAAAACAGCCGCGCGACGTGTATCGCAGAAAAAAGGTACTTGTGACCCGTGCTTGTCCTGACCGTGCGGAATCATGCACGATTGCCGTGCGGTGGGGGTGTCGCCTAGGTGTGCACCGGCCCTCAATATGTATACTGCTGGGAAACTTACCACGCCTACATTACGGGGTGGCAAAGTAGGCAGATGACATTTAAAAAAATTATTGTTCTGTTTGCATGTTACTTGTATAAAAAAATCAATGCATAGTTTTTTGTCTTTTTAGCAACACACCACGCTATCTCCTCTTATTAAACCCTTTTCACCAAACCCTACAATTCTAAATAATTAATCAATATTCAAATCAAAGAAAAAATTTGTATATCAAAGTGTCCACAAATTACTGTGATCTATGTGTAAAACTCTTGGCACTTTTCACCCAAAAAAATGGGCTGAAAATCTCGGCTAATACTCGAGTATATACGGTATATATTGACTAACAGTGTGAGTAAAAACTCAAACTAAGACACATGCACCATTGCAAATTCGCAAATTCATCACCATACTAATGTATATAACCTAGTGAATAAGTAAGTGATCCAAACAAAAGTGAATTGGATAAGCATGTATATAAATTAAAGAACAAGTCGTTCTCTAATCACTTAATAAATAACCAAGAGGAAATAATTCTAAATCTAAATGTTGTCTTTTTGTTCTCTAGGCTGCAGAAACCCTCAGGAAGCTGTATATGGACTTTCCCAATCTGTATAACCGCAGCATTGTATGTTCTTTTGAGCCAAGTGTTATCTATAAAGTGAGTAGAGACTTGCAGTACACTCTTGGACTTTGACATTACTCTTATTTAGTCTGTGTAATAATGCTAGATTTGCCATTGTAAGGTGATTGAACTGCTTACCATGGGCCTCGGGATGCATTCCAAGCATCATTTAGGATTACGTTTTAGATTCAATGAATTCCTTACACACAGTTGCATACACTATGATTGGTATTTACATAAACCATGTTTGTTTCCACCTACTGCCCGCAGTTTTGTAGAAAGATTTCCATTTTTTTTTTCAAATAAGGATACTGCCCCATGTATTTCTTTGTATAAAAAAAATGGGTCCCCAATGTCCAATGCTTACCTGTTTTTTTTTAAGACCTGGAGTTCGCTATTCTGGAATTAATTTGCAGCGTCGCCTACTTGTGAAATTTAGTTTTGCTGCTTCATCTTGGTACAAAGATTTTCTTATGGAAGGAAATGCATTAATTGTGAAACCTTTCTGTTGCTTGCACTGAGGGCATTTTGTTTTTTCCCCCATTTATCATTACAATTGTCTGCAGTGAATATCAAAAGATAAGTTAGATAATTCTCTTTTGTTTATATTTTAAGAAGGTGGAAAGCATAGAACTTGCACAATTGGTGGCTGACTAAATACTTTTTTGCCCCACTGTATGTCACTACAGGCAGCTTGAACTTCTGAACAACATTACACTATAGGTACGCATAGGGACATTTTTTCTAAAAGTTAATTAACATACAATGTACTACACAAGTCTATACATCTTTAACCCTTTGTTAGGATAGACGGGGTGCACATCTTTGAGGACTGCCAGTACAGTACAGACGAGCAATTATTGTATTAACTCCTTAACATTTTTCAGGTGTTCCGTGAAATTTCCTTGCTACTAAATATTCCAAGGTCAACTGTTAGTGGTATTATAACAAAGTGGAAGCAACTCAGCCACGAAGTTGTAGGCCATGTAAAATTACAGAGCGGGGTCAGCGCATTGAAGTCGCCAACTGTCTGCAGAGTCAATAGCTACAGACCTCCAAACTTCGTGTGGACTACAGGCACAACAACAGTGCGTAGAGAGCTTCATGGAATGGGTTTCCATGGCTCAGCAGCTGCGCCCAAGCCTTACATCACCAAGTGCAATGCAAAGTGTCGGATGCAGTGGTGTAAAGAATGCCACCACTGGACTCTAGAGAAGTGGAGACATGTTCTCTGGCGTGACCAATCACTTTTCTCTATCTGGCTATCCGATGGACCTGTCTGGGTTTGGGGGTTGCCAGGAGAACGGTACTTGCCTGACTGCATTGTGTAAAGTTTGGTGGAGGGGGATTATGGTGTGGGGTGGTTTTTCAGGGGTGGGGCTTGGCCCCTTAGTTCCAGTGAAGGGAACTCTTATGGCATCAGCATACCAAGACATTTTGGTCAATTTCATGCTCCCAACTTTGTGGGAACAGTTTGTGGATGGCCCCTTCCTGTTCCAACATGACTGCGCACCAGTGCACAAAGTGAGGTCCATAAAGCAATGCAGCTAACCACAGGTCAGGTGCAAAACTTTGCCCAATCACGGCAGAGTGCACTGTGAGCCATGCTTGGGCAAAGTAATGATGACTTTGCCCAACCATGGCTCACAGCTAAGTCCTGTCAGGTGGCGGATAAATGTAAACAGTTAGGTGGAGCTAGCTGTGATGTCACCACTAGCTCTGCCAAATTGTTTGTTTTGCCTGCAAGTGTCAGAATGCCATTCTGCGGCCTGAGTTTGTCGTTAGCGGAAGGGTCTGGGTTTAAAAAAATAAAAATAATTTCTGTTTATTTTGTTCTTGTTTTATTTTTTATTTTGTCGAGTCGTCGTCGCCATGGACAAGGCTTTATTAAAGGGGTGCCCCGATGTGAATAAGCCCCCCCTGCCCGCACTCCCACAACCATTGCCCCAGGGCTTGTGGGGAAGAGGCCCTTGTCCCCATCGGCACGGGGACAAGGTGCCTTTCCAGGGGTGTGTTCGGACCATCACTAATCATGGAATGGCCCGCACAGTCTCCAGACTTAAAGCCTATGGAGCTGATTTGGAATGAACTAGACAGCAGAGTGAAAGCAAAGCAACTTGCAAGTGCAACACATTTGTGGGAACTTCTGGGACAGTGTTGGGAAGAACATCTGAACAATATTTGATTTCCACCGCACCTCCCCTTACCCTCACCTGACCTTCCCGCACAGGTTCAGCCTCTCCTGCTGCGAAGTTCCCTTTGTTCAAGTGGCTAAATGCAATCTTATAAGGGAAGCCTCCCCCATAACTTCGGAGTTTGGGTGCAGGAAATGGTCTCTTGGGGGTCCTTTAATATTCGGATGCTTCCTCTATCATGGAGGGGTGTTTAAGACACTTGCGTAGCCTCCTCGTCTTGTGACTCCAGACAAACCATCATCAGAAACTATGGTTCTACTGGAATGGTCACATGCATGGACAAGATGACAAGTAGGATGCACTCCATTTTCTTTAAAGGAGAACTATGGGGTGTTCTTCCCCATAGTGTTCTTCCCCATAGTTCTCATAAGGGTCATGGGAGGACATAAATTAGCATCCTCCCATGACCCAAAGATCAGTATATCGCGAGCTACAGCTCACGGTTTTCTGAGACCGCCGCAGCCGGGACGGATCCTGGCATTACTGTCGAGATCCACCCAGCTGCGTGAGTGACAGCTGGCTCTGCCTATCTAGAGGCAGAGCCAGCTATACCCGTCCCCTCCCCTGTCCGTTCCGCCAGTCAGTGCTGGAGGATTGGGGGGGGCGAATCCCTGCAGGGAGCCGTGAGTGACAGTCACGGCTCTCTGCAGGGACATGATCGAGAAGTGAGCGAGCGACGGTATGTGTTTGCTCACTTCCCGATCTATTGAGCCGACGTGTGACAGTTTCTTTTTCACACGTCGGCTCGAACTATGAGGTTGAGTGAAAATCACTGACCTCATAGTTCTCCTTTTAGCTAGTTTGTTTAAGAAATGAATGTGCTACTATTTCTATGGCTTTACAGTGCTGCTTTGCTCTGGCTGAATCTTTTTTGAATACCTATTGTATATGTATACAATATATGTATTGTACATGGTATTTGAATACCTATTGTTTGTAGATCCTTTCAGTTTTCCATGTGTGCTTAAAACTAACAAGCAAGTATGTGATTCTTTGGTGCTGCTAATGCCTTAGCTGAATATTGCAGGTATTTGCCTTTAAAGCTTTGGTTCTCAACTGGTGGGTCTTGACCCAAAAGTGGTCCGCCCCAAGTGTTTAGTGGGTCAATGCATGCCTTACACTTTTCTAGGTGAGAGGCTCCTCAGCCTCCCCCTAGTGCAGCACTCTCAGTTCTCACACCAAGCAGCCATTCAAAATATGCTGCCCAGTGCCGAATGTCAGCTTGGGGTGGGAAGGGATGGGGCTATGGCCGCGAAGGAGCTTAATCCATACATGCATTGCTTACAGCTCCCTCATGTGTCCTGTAGAGGTACCTGTACCGGAGTGATGTCACATTCTGGCTTACAGCACCTTGACAGGGTGCACAAGGGAGCTGTACCAGCAATGCACATATGGATGGAGCTCTATCAAAGCACAGCAGTCCCCACTGGACCCCAGGCTGAGGATCCACCCTAGTTCTCGTTAAGATAGGGAGACTGGGTGGATCTTAAAAAGATTAAAACATTTTTAAGAGTGTGTATGCGTGTGTGAGAATGTGGTTGTGTGTGTCTGTCTGTGTTTTTCGAGGGCCTGTTCACACTAATACAGTGCGTTAATTGCACAGTCACATGCGATTATCGCACTGTACCACGCAAAATCACACCTACTGGGAATTCTGGTGTGGGAGGTGTGTTGTGTTGCCATTTATTTGAATGGCACCCCAAACGCACCTCCCACCCACAGTTTGATCGTCTGCACCAGAACGCGTGCTACTGCAATGCCGTGCGTTCCAGTGCGGTGTGACTTCAGTCATGACTTATTGACCAAGGATAAATGTGGGTCCAGAGGTTACACAGGTTGAGGAACCACTGGCCTAAAGCATCCATTAGCTTGCGTGTGGTGCTTTAACCCTGAAGGTGCTTGCAGAGTGTAGACTGCTGCCACTTGGAGCTCTGCTACAAAAGCTTTAGCTGGATCTTACAGAAATGTGTTCTTGGCTATGGTTCCTGAATGATTATATGTAACTTATGGAGTTGTTGCTTCATTTTCAGGCTTATTATGCCTGTTATTCAGTAATCTTTTTCATGGTCCTATATTTTATGTGGCTACCATGTATACACAATTGTTTAGGGCTGCAGCTAACGATTATTTTCATAATCGATTAGTTGGCCGATTTATTTATGTTCGATTAATCGGATAAAAAAGAAAAAAAAATCACTGCACCCCCATACACCAATTCCACCACTGCCTCTCCACACAGCTATTCCACACTGACACCTGGTCCACACTGCACCCCCCATACACCTGGTCCACACTGCACCCCCCATACACCTGGTCCACACTGCACCCCCATACACCTATTCCACCACCACACACCTATTCCATCACTATATCCCCGCACACCTGTTCCACACTGCAGCTCCGTACACCTATTCCGCCACTGACTTGCTTTCAGAAGATTGCTTTTCCTCGATTGAGGAGGAGAGCAGCGTCGCCGGCGTGCGCAGCTTCAGCGTCCTGTGCGGGCGTGAAAAAAAAAAGAGTGTGCATGCATGGGCATAATAAATATTTTCTGCCCTGTTGACGGCACTGTTCCTTAGAATGCATATGCAGGGGTTAATGGATTGTAAATCTCTCCAGCCGTTTTCCACCACTGCTTCTCAGAGTGTATATGCATGAACTTCTGGATTATAACTTTTTTTTTTTACCAGCAATGCTCCCCAAGGACAGAGTAAGCTGCTCAATTTGGGATAAAAGGTCCTCTTCAAGCTGTGATACGGCTGCTACACATTCAAGGCCCTGCTATTAGGGTAAAGCTAGCAGAATGCATCTCAAAGACTGTACAACCTTGAAGCAGTACTA